TTGGCTATCTTTTATAAAATGAGGGTGATTTTAGAAGGAAAAATATATGTTTAACAGAAACAATAGTACACATTCATAGATATTAGCTTCTAGTTTTGATAATTGTCTTTGAGGTTTCTGTTTTATATCTGTTAACTGGACTGGATCCTGAATTCTTCTAGTCTCCTGAAATATCTGGCTACAAATCTCCAAACTAATGTTTTTGATTTTTTCCATCATTTTCATTTGGAATCACTGAGAACCGAACCTGCCCTTTTTCCTGAAGCCTTGCAGACTGAAGCTGGTGGACTTGATATAAACTTAAGAGAGATTCATGTCTGTTACTGTGTAAGCCGCTCAGAGAGATACCTTAAATCCTGATGACATCATCAGAGACATTTCAAACTGCAAAAGATGCTTTGACTCTGACATCTAAAAATCTTTTTGACTGGCTGTCCCCTGGACTCAGAAACTGGTTTATAATTTGCTCCCACCATTAACTTTTTCTTTTTGTCTTATTAATTACCTGGTTGCTTGCTTCCACAATATAGGCATAACTTTCGGAGGCCACCTGCATCACCGTCTTACTAAGAGACTGGTTCAAGAAGGTAGACCAAGAGGATGTCCCTCAAGATTGAGGGTTTAAACAGCAAAGGGGGGAATTGATACCGGCTCAAGACAAAGTTGATATGAGGGAAGCCATGTTGTAAAAAAGAAACCCTACTGTAACTTTGAATGACCTCTGACAAACTAACCCAGCTGGATCTGCCCCCTCCAGGAGATCTAACTGCTCTGTGGATTTTACGACGCCTGCTTGTGCAGGTACCTCCCAGCTGTGCTGAGATGATAACTTTGTTCTTTTGAGTTCCTTAGGAATGTGATGACCCCCGAACAGAGAGTCTATGCTGATAGCCGTCATCAATGAAAAGTAAAAGATCTGGTGTGGCACTCCCAGTCTGTAACACCAGAGGGTCAACATTCCTGACTCCCTCCCCAATAACCCATCGGCCTATATAACTGCTGTAAGATTTTGTGCCCCCTAAAAAGGGTTCTTTCAGACACAAGTCAGCCATCTTCCCTCTTGCTAGCAAGCTGTAATAAAAAAGTCCTTTTACTCCTACCACCTTGCCTCTTGACTATTGGCATGTCTTGCGGCAGGCAGAAGGCCCCACATTGTGTGGTAACAATAACGGCCCAGTTTCATTCTTCTGCACCTGGATATCCCGTTTTCCTGGCACCACTTGTTGAAGAGACTGTCCTTACCTCCTCACGTACTCTTGGTACCCTTGTCCCAGGTCAGTTGGCTGTAAATGTGTGGATTTGTTTCTGGGTTCTCTATTCTGTCCCGTTTGTCTATATGTCTGTTTTTATTATTGTAGCTGATGCATGACCTGTAATATATTTTGAAATCAGGAAGTGTGATGCCTCCAGCTTTGTTCTTCCTGTTCAAGACTGCTTTGGCTATTCAGGGTCTTTTGTGGTTCCATGTGAATTTTGGGATTGTTTCTATGGGGAATGTGGGCTGAAGACCTCCCATTCTGCCATTTTGCTGATGTCACTTCTCTGTAGTTTCTTCTTCTTGCAGTGTCTTTGTCTGGCTTTGATATCAGGGTAATGCTGGCCTCTTAGAATGAACTCGGGAGTGTTCCCTCCTCTTCAATTTTTTGGAAGAGTTTCAGGAAGATTGGTGTTAATTCTTTAAATATATGGTAGAATTCACCAGTGAAGCCATCTGGTCCTGGCTTTTTGTTGGGAGATTTTTGATTTCTGATTCAATCTCCTTTTTTGTTATTCGTCTGTTCAGATTTTCTATTTCTTCATGATTCAGTCTTAGTAGTTTGTGTTTTTAGGAATTTATCCATTTCTTGTAGGTTATCCAATTTGTTGGCATACAATTCTTCTAGCTTCTAATAAGGATACTTGTGATGGCATTTAGGGCCCACTGGGATGATTTCCCACCCTCAAGATCCTTAACCTAATCACATCTGCAAAGACTCTTTTTCCATAGAAGTGAATGGTTATAGGTTGAATTGCATCCCCCCTAAAATTCATATGTTGAAGTCCTAACCCCCAGGACATCAGAATGTGACTGTCTGGAGATAGAATCTTTAAAGAGGCAATTAGGTTAAAATGAGATCATTAGAATGGGCCCTAATCCAATATGACTGGTGTCCTTATAAGAAGAGATTAGGACACAGATACCCAGAGGGAAGACCATGTGAAGACACAGGGAGAAGGGGGCCATCTACAAGCGAAGGAGAGAGGCCTCAGGAGAAACCAACCCTGCCCACTCCTTGATCTTGGACTCCAGCCTCCAGAGCTGTGAGAAAATAAATGTCTGTTGTTTAAGCCCCCCAGTCTGTGGTCCTTTGCTATGGCAGCCTGCACAGACTAATACAGTAATATTTATGAGGTTCCAGGGATTAGGACCTGGCTATCTTTGGGGCTACTATCAGCCTAGCACGTTTGTTACCATTTTGCTCCCAGAGTGTGTAACTAATGGAAGCAGAGAGTTTCTCTGTTTTGTTCTTAAAACACTGTCTCTCCACAGGGAGTGTGCAGTGTGGTAGGGAGAGTCAGACAATAAACAAAGAAGTGAAGTGTACTGTGCCCTGATGACAGGTTCTCTGGAGAGAAGAAAGGCAGGGGCAGAGGAGGGAGCGCTGTGCGGGGAGGTGGGGACACTTTGCAATTTTAGAAAGGGGGTCGAGGTGGGACCTTCTGAGAAGGTGACCTTTGAGTCAAGACCTGGAGGAGACGAGGGAGCCAAGCACGTTGATGGCTGAGGGAAGAGCATTCTGGGCAGGAGAGACGGCAGATGTGGAGGCCTGCAGTGGGGCGGCCTGGCACCTGCAAGGAGAGGGAAGAGGGCCTGGTGGAGGCTGAGTAAAAGGATATGAGGTCAGAACAGCTAGTGCAGCTCAGGGAGGGGCTTTTAGGCTGCTGAAAGGCCTGTGGCTTTGGCCCTGAGCAAGACGGGAGCCACCGCAGGATTCTGAGCAGACGCGTGACCCGAGCTGACTTATGTTTTAAAAGGATTGTTTTGGCTGCTGCATGGAGAGAAGGCTGCAGGGGAGCCGGGGCAGAGTCAGGGAGCCCAGGTAGGAAGCTGTGTCAGCAATCCAGGCAGGAGCTGCTGCTGGAGCAGGCGTAGCCCCTGGGGGTTGTGAGCCGTGGCCGGACTCTGAGTGAATCTGCTGTGGGGAGCAGGAGAGGAGTCAAAGATGGCTCCAGTTACTGAGGTGCGGAGGGTGTGTGTGTGGGGGGACACATTCTGTTGGGGAGGAGGGAAGCCCTGCTGTGCAGGCATGCCAGTGAGACTTCCAGGTGGCTGTTAAGAACTGGCCCTGGGCGTGCAGGTCTGGAGCTCACGGAGAGGTCTGTCCTGTGGCTGTCAGTTTGGAGGTGCCAATGCATAGGTGGTATTTAAAACCGAGAACTATGAGAAGCCCAAGGGCTGAATGCTGGGGCTGGCCAACTTTTGGAGGCCGGAGAGCTGAGGAGGGAACAGCAAGGATGTTTTTGTTGAATGAATAAATGAAAGAATGAATCTCCTTTGCCACTACTCTTGGGCAGGCTGTCACTCTTCACTGTTTGTCACAGCAGCCCCCTTGTGGGTCTCCGTGAACCCACCCCTTACCCTCTTCTGATCCATCCTCCATCTTTTCTTGGCTCTGCCCCCTCCCACCAGGCACTCTCGCTGTCCTGCCCTCTGGGCCTTTACAGGGGCTGCTCTCCAGCCTGAAAGGCCTGATTCTCCTCCCTGCTCTAGGCTTTGCCTGGTAAATGGTGTTTTGTGCTCTATTCTCCTCTGGGAAGCTCTCCCTGAGCATCATCCCCGTCACTTTCTCTTTCCATCCCAGTTTCTTCTGGCACTGTGAGCGTCCTTGTGCGAAAATGCCCAGCTTCGGCAGTCTGCCTGGCAAACCCCACCCACACTCCCAGCAAACAGCTCCCTCGCCAGCCTTCTGGCTTAGGGGTGTGCCCACTGGCCATGGGTTTGCTTTCAGGAGGACAGACACAGGCATGAGGCCATGTGGGCCCTGGAAGTGGACTTGATGGTCTGGGGAGAGAATTCCAGAATCTGGTACCCAGAGCGTGGTCTAGAAGGGAGTTGCGGGCTCCAGGTGGGCATGTCCACAGGCCCCAAGGATTTCTGGCCCTGAGGGGAGGGGGCTGGCCCTGGGGATGGGGGCATCTAAGGATGGTAGTGAGTCTCCCAGTGCCACCTGCAGGATTTAATTTGTTACATTTTATACAGAACTGAAGCAGTGTCATGTGTGAGAGTGGGTCTTCCCTAGATGGGATGGTTCAGAGGGAAGTACGTCTTCTAGTTTGCACAGATGGGGCCATTTCTCCCCTCGCTGCATGGCTGTTCACCAAGGCCAAAGGTTTGGTCTGGACAGAAGGGTCAGTTTCATTTCTTCCACCCCTCCAGCTGCACCCTCAGCATATGGAGGCTGCCCACCAGGCCCTGTGCTCAAGGTCTTGGACCTAAGGGGCGAGAGGACTGGGGAAGGTGTGGCTGGGCAGGTGAGCCCACCTCCATGGAGGAGACCCATCGTTGGCGGATGTGTGTGGGGCTGGCCGGCCCTGCTTCCCCTGCCAAGGGGCTTTCATTGTTAAAGGACACGCTGAACTTGGAGAAGGATCTATGCGCCAGAAGCCAACGGCAGGTGATTTTGGTAAGTAGCCCCGTATACACCTTGAACAGTGGCGGTCCCCAAGGCTGAGCCCTGTTCCCTACCTGCGCCAGGAGCTGGAGGCAGATGCGAGAGCATCAAGGAGGCCAAAACAGTTTCCTTTAAAAGATTTTCATTTATTAGTCTTTTCTGAAGCAGTTAATTCTCTTTTCTTATTTAAAAAAATGTGTTTCATCCAGAGTTATACCAAAGTGATTAAAATGAAGTTTCTACTGGGGATATAGTTCCCCAGAGCAGAAAAAAAAAATTTTTTTTTTCAATGAACCACAAAAATAAAACCAAAAGAGAACATCAACAATCAAAAATAATCCTCAAATATCCAGGACAAAAAATAAAATATTTATTGATCTATCACAGCGAGACACAAAGAGATGGGCAGGGCAGGGCAGGGGGTAAATGCTCTGAAGTACAGTGGCTCGAGGGAGGGACTGGGGATACAGTACTGCGTGGGGGGAGACCCAGGTTGGGGGAGGAGATTCCTGCCACCCTAGCCCCTCACACCCTGGGCTCAGGGCCCCTTCTTAGGCGTGTGTGTGGTGGGCGGAGGCAGGGCACAGGCTGCCATGACAGGTCAACCAGGTTGATGGTGGGGGCGCCTGGCCAGCTAGTGGTGCCAGGCGGTCAACTGGGGACAAGGATGGATGGACGGATGGACTGATGGGCGGATGGGTTCCACAAGAGCAAGGGGACTATTCCCGATGGGGGTCTTCTGCCACGAAGGTACCCCAGACATGGGGAAGAGCAGTTGGTGGGGGAGAGGGAACAAAGGGGGCCAAGAGATGGTGTGACCGAACCCAGCTTGAGGCTTTCTGGGCTTGGGTACCAACTGGACCGCAGCCAGAGGTGGGTCCTGGTGGGCAGCGGGAGGTGGGGCTGCCTGGGAAGTGTCGGCACCATCTTCAGAGGAGCCCCAGGGAGGGGGTTCCCCGGGGGCTGCCCTTCCCTCCTCCCTCCCCCAGGAAGATGAGAGCACCAGCACGTAGCACCAAGGTCCCCTGGAGATGGAGAGTGTGTGGAGGGGGAGCTCCTGGGTGGGAAGGGGGTGGGGGCAGGGGGGCCAAGCCCCCCACCCCTCGCCTCTGAAGTCGGGGGCCTCCTGGGGCCCGCTTGGCCACCGGTCTCTTGTTTCCTTGCCCCGGGGATTTCCAAGTCCGCCCGGCCCGGCCTGCCCTGTCCCCTCCCGGGTGGGACTTAGGAGGGCATGGGGTGGGGTCACAGAGGGTGTACATTCTCCACCAAGCAGTAGCACCAACGTTGATGAGGTCGCGAGTCAGGGGTCCGGGGAAGCTCACTTTCTCTTCCGGCCGCAGGCTTTCCCCAGGCAGGCCCCACCTGCGGGGGCACAGCCGTCAGTCCGGCCCTCCTGGGTGCTGCGCAAGCCCCGCCCTCTCTGACCAACCCCGGGCTGTTCTCACACCCACGTCATCGCGGGGGGACAGGGCTCCCAGAAGCACGGGAAGCCTGGCCGGACCTCAGGCCGAATCTGAGCCGTTCTGCTGCGCAGACTCCCACTGCGCGGGCGGCTGGGGGCAGCGCCCGAAACGCGGACGGGGCCAAGGCTCAGAGAGGGCAAGGGGCCCCGGCATGGGCAAGGTCTCCACGCTCTGAGTCCACTGCCTCTGGGAAGCCTTTAGCAAGCGGCTCAGAGCAGCCCCCTCCAGGGAAACAGGGTGAAGGGAGAGTTGACAGTGTCTGGAGGAGATGGCCTTCCTGGGAAAGATCTACAAACGTGCAAGCGCATCGGATAAATAAACTGAGGCCCAGAGAGGGAGGGTCTTACTCCGCCACAGTCAGTGGCTGAGCTGGGCCTCAAACCCAGGACTCCTGCCCTCTCCTGGGAACTGACTGGAAAACCTTGTTTCAAATCAAGGCACCATTATCGGGGAGGAGGGCCTGGTGTGGCTCCTACCCCTGCAGGAGCTAGACGTGGCTCATCACCGCCACCTGGCGGCAGCGAGCAGGCGAGTGGGGCAGGGACAGGCATCCCTGTGAAGCTCGTCGAGGGTGTTTTGAAAGCAGGGCCACCAGCATCAGCTGGTGCCTGACTAAGCGCTGGGCACCCCGGAAAGGGTCAGGCTGGTTTGCCTCTGCCTGTCCCCGCCCTGGCCTCGGCTGCCTGATTTATGTAGTGGGCAGCAGGTGGGAGTGCAAGGGAACCCACAGCCTGAGCGACCACGGGGAGGAGCGAGGCTCTTCCCCTCTCCTTCTGGCATGGGCATTGTTGGGAGGGGCCTGGGGGGGTGGTGATCAGGACTCACACCACACACTCCCAGAGGCGTGTCTGCATCTTTGAGCAAGGGTGTGGCTCCATGCCAGGTGGTGGCCTCTGCCTGCCCTGCCCAGCCCGGACACCTTGAGTCGCCTTGCCCAGCCCTCAAATTTCTCTAACTCTAGGGCTCCTGTTGTCTTATCCATTCTCTCTGTCTCTGGCCCTCTGAGTTCTTCTCTTCTCATCCCTTCTCTTCCCCCTGTCTCCTGCCTGCAGGGCGTGTGGGCCCAGGCTAAGGGACTTCGGCAGGGACAGCCAGGCCTGGCCCGGGTGAGCGTGGAGGGTCCTGGGCCCACCCCCAGCTCTGGGCGTCTGTGTCGGAGGTAGAAGAAGGAACGGTGAGGTGTCCAGCTCCCCCCACCTCCCCACTCCATGCCAGGCCTGGTCCAAACATGCTGCCCCTCTGCCAGGCCCAGGCTGATGGGCCCCCTCCCTCTGCCTCTGTCTTTGCCCCTCCCTCCCCTGCCCTCTTCCAGGGGCGAAATCTCTGCTCACCTGGGAATCCCAGGGCTCCCAGGGCCCCTCCGTAGGGCTTGGGAGGTTTGCCTGTGGAGGGAAGGTGTGGACTGGGGAGGGGCCAGGCTTTCCCGCCTCTCTCAGTGCCTCCCATATATACCGCCTCAATCCTGTCACAGCAGCGCCAAAGGCCTCCCTGCCCTCGCTGCCCTTGAGCCCCACCCCGCCTGACCCCTCCCATCCAGTCACCATCCTTGCAGATCCATCCTGCCTGTGGAGGTCTGAGCAGCTGTGTGGGCGCCCCTTCCATGGTCAGATTCTGGCCTTGCTTCCCGCTTCCCGGGCGCAGCCCTGCTCCTGCCAACCTGCTCCCGCTAACCTGCTCCCACTAATCTGCTCTGGCTTCGGCCTCCCTGACCACCTGCTTGAAGGGACCTTGCTCTTCTCTTAGTTTCTTCCCTTTTCTGTGGGACCTTGTCAGTCTCTCCACTTATTTCCCAAGCCCCGTGGTGACCCAGGTCCCTATCTTGATCCTGGTGCCCCGTCAAGTGCCAGGCTGGGAGCCCCAGGAGTTGGGATCCTTGCCCCCTGTCCCCACATCCCAGGGCTGAACTTTCAGCTTCCGGATTCCCCTGGGGGCCCCTCAAGCCCCTGCCCCCCAGGGCAGCCCAGGGCCGTGGGCACACCAGCCACTCCCTCAACAGGACTTTGCCCCACTAGGAAAGGCGCTCAGGGCCCTGCTCGAAGCAGGGCCCCCTGCCCGCATTTAGGCGCCCTCTTCTTGCAGACTCACCACCAACTCCCAGGCCCCCAGCTCCGGCACCTGCAAGGCAAGGAGAGGGGCTGTGAGCGCTAGCTTCTGGGGGCCCCGCCAAGCCCTCCCCGGCAGCGTGGGCCTCGCCTGAGAGGGGCCAAGTTCCCGGCTTGGGGATCGGGAGGCCTGGGCTCTGCCTCCCTCACTGTGTGACCTCGGACAGGTCCCTGGCACTCTCTGAACCTCAGTTTGCCTCATCTGGAACACGGCATTTTGGGAAAGCTGATGCCCCCTGCCCTTGCAAGGGAGGCAGAGAAGAGTGAGGGGAGGCCCAGCCTCGTGTAATCTGAGGTCATGGGGTCCCTGCCCAGGCCTGGCTCAGACATTCTGAGCCTGAGATGAAGCAGGGGCGGAGGGAGGACGGGCCCAGAGCTCCGGGGGGGCCGAGGGGCAGAGCGCCTGGGCATACCCGGGAAGATGGGAGACAATCCGAGGCCAGGTCTCGCTGCAACTCCTGCGGGAGGGATTTGGGTTGGCGTGGGGCAGGCCCCACTCCCGCCTGGCCCCCTCTCGCCCCTCTGCCCAGGACTACCTCCCCCCGCCCACTCCCATATCCCCTGTCGTCGGAGCAGCTTTCTTACCAACCGTGTCCCCCCTGGCATCCTGGGCTGGGCCCTACAGCCTCAGCCTGGGGTCTGAGGCCCATGGTGCGACCCCCAATCCCAAGGCCTGCTCCTTTGCCCAGGGTGTTTGTTTCCTTCCCTGGACTGTCCCCTCCACTCTTGCTCTTGTTGTTGCGCTAGCCGCAGCTCCAGGACTCTGCCGGCTAGCCCGACAGTCTTCCTCTAGACTGGGCAGAGCTGAGCGCTTCACAGCAGAGATGGCCCCTACCTGCACCTGGGAATGGCCTGGTGACCCCTAGGACACCTCCAAGGCCAGCGGCACCTGAGAAGTGGGCAGATGGGGGCAGGACAAGGCACAGTTTAAGGGGCCCTCTGGGTCTTGGGGTCAGGGATATCCTGCACAGATCTTCAGGGGTACTGTGAGCATGCCTGAGGCCTGAGCCGGTGGGGGGATCTAATGCCGGGATAAGCAGCCTACAGGCCTGGGCAGAGGGGGCGCCTCAGGGTGTAACTCACCATATTTGGCTGCTTTAGCGGCCACAGCTGGAGACACACCTGGGGAGATGGGAGCATGAGGGCTCAGGACTGTCACCTCCCTCCCAGAGTCATGTCCCCTCCTGACCTGCTTGCCACTTACCATCTGCCCACAGACTCATCCTTCCACCATCCCTCCACCCCTCCTCCATCTGTCCATCTTTCCAAAAGCCTTTATTAAGCTCCTACTGTGTGTCCTGTCTTGTGGAGCACACAGGAAGATTTTGGGCCATTTTAGGTACAGAGACACGATGACCCAGAGAAGAGTCAACACAAGGCCTGCCAGGATGGCAGAGAATTTGGGAAAGTAATTTCCCTTCAAGCTTTGGTTTTCTTCTCTGGAAAATGGGCATAACCGTCATTATCCTAATAAGCTCCCACTCGAAGTGGTTGGGTGGATTCAAAGAGAGAGGAGAGGGAGAAGATGGGGATGCCCATCTGTCCAGCTGCCAGAGGCAGTCCTGGATTCCGCTTGCTCAAGCCCCCTCTAAATGCTTCAGGAGCCTGGAGAAGGGGCGGGGCCCACTACAGCCTTGAGTTGCAGATGAAGTGGGGTGGGGTCCAGGCAGAGAGGACAGCTTGAGCAAGGTGTGGCAGGGCGGGCAAGAAAGTCTCTCTCTCTCTCTTTCTCTCTCTCATATACATACACACACACACACACACACACACACACACACACACACTCACACCACGCACACATGGATCCCAGAGGAGTCCTTTACCTCCAAGGCCCACGGCCCCCGGGACAGCCCCAAGCCCTCCAACTCCCAGATCTCCAGCTCCGAGCCCTGCGACGCCCCCCAGGCCTGTGGAGAGAGCTGTGCATTAGTCCCCCGCTGGTCTGTCTACAGGGGGGTGGAGGGGTCAGCCTGGGACCCAGGTGAGAGTGCAGTGGGACCAGGAGGTGGGTGGGCCCTGGGGAGAAGATGCCCTGGAGGGTCTCAGGGGCAGGTCAGGGAATACATGCTTCATGGCACACGGTCAGAGTGCCCCCAAACCCCGGGGCCTTGGCGGCCCCCAAACCCAGTGCTCACCATACTGGGCAGCTTTGGCAGCAGCTTTGGCAGCAGCAGCCAAGGCAGCAGGTCCGGCTCCTGGGGACACAGAGGAGCTCAGGGAGGAGCTCTCCACCAGTTAGTCTCCCTCCCTGCCCAGCCCATCCTGGGGTTTCAACTCACCTGCCACACCGCCAGGGACCCCTACTCCGCCAAGAGCCCCGGCATCTCCAAGGACCCCGGGCCCTGCTGCTCCTGTGGAGAGATGATGGGAAGTCAGTCCCCCCATTCCTGAAGGACGGGGTCTTTCTGCCCCAGGGACACTAGGCAAGCAGACAGGTAGCAGAGGCCATGCGACCCAGTGCAAGGAGGTCTCAGTCTCGATGAATCTGAGGCCTGACTCTGCCCTGGTCCTTGAGCCCTGGCTGGCCCACCTCCTCTCTTTCCCTGCGGGCCAGCACTGGGAGCCGCAGGTGGCCACAGTGGTGGCTACAAGCTCCTGAGGTTGGAAGACTAGTCTCAGGTTCTGACAGCCTTGAGTTCAAATCCTGGTTTCTCCACTCATTATAGCTGTCACCACTGAGCCCCAGGGCCCCATCTCCCTAAAGGGGATGATGATCCTTACCCTGCCCACCCTACGGGTGTTTGGAGAGTAAAGACCTGCCCTCTGAGACTGTCTGCTGAGCTCTGAACCATGGCCCGGACAGAGCTGCTGGGAGCAGCAGTAGAACAGCTGACACGTGTCGGAAGCTTACAGTGCGCAGTGCTCCACACGCATTAGGATGCCCATTACTCATCGCAACAGGAAAGGTAGGTAGTATCATCCTCACCATTTTCCACGTAAGAAAACCGAGGCACAGCAGAGGTTAAGCAATGTGCCTCAGGTGCCACGGGCAGGAAAGGGCTCCAGAGCCCACACCTTTAACTGCTTTGTTTCCCTGGCAACATCTGTCAGACTCTGGCGGCAGAGCAGCCAGCAAGGAACAGGAGAGGGCCGTGGGTCACCGGCCCGCCGGGGGTGGGAGCTCAGGAAGCTGAGATTTTCCGAGTGGAAACTGGCCCCAAGTGGACCGGCCAGAGCCGGTTGGCGGTTCCCTGATGGAGGCCCCGGCCCAGCTCCCAGGAGGCCAGGAACAAGGGGCCACAGACAGAGTGGGTCTGGCCAGGCGGGCTCCCTGAGCGCCACGTGCAGGGCCAGGCAGCTCTGCCACGTCCTTGCAGCTCGTGGCGGGCGCTGGCATGCTGACAGGGCGTGTGCGGGGGCTGGGCCCGGACCAGGAGTCCCTACTCTGCTGGGGAGGAGGCAGAAGCCACCCGTGGACAGCAGCCCCAGCCCCTCCCTGGCCTCAGGTTCCACAAAACTGTCAGGGCCAGAGGGGCCTTAGGGGTCATGGTCCTCACTGAGGTGGAACTGCCCCCAGGGGGGCTGGAAATGTGAGGGCGTTTTGGTTGTCCCCGGTTGGAGGCACAATAGGTATTTAGCTGGCAGGAGCTAAGTCTGCTAAACTTTCACTAATGTGTCCTAGAAACTGCCTTTTCCCACCCTGACCACCCCAGCCCTGTGCTGCAGGCTCCAGAGACCGGGGCTCAGCAAGGGAACCAACAATGGGGGGGCCCAGTGTATGGGGTGTACTCACCATATTTGGCTGCTTTAGCTGCAGCCAGGGGTCCAGGTACTAGAGTAAAGGGAAAAATGGGGTGGTCAGCAGCTGAGCTCTGTACCTGGAGGTTCTGCTTCCTCCTCCAGGGAGCCCTCCCTGACTTCCTCCACATGCTTTGCTCCTCTCAGGGCCCGGAAGCTGTGGTTCCCCAGCAAGGAGTTCACCCGGCCGGGTGCAGAGCTCTGGTATCTAACTGTGATTCTGCCACTCTGATCTGGGGGTGCTTGAGGCTGAACTGTGCCTCCTCCTCCCATCTGTCCCCTCTCAGCCCCTCCAGGCTCAGTGTGGTCTGCCTGAGGCTGCACACAGGGCACTCGGTGAAGAACCGGAGCTCCTCGTGGCCCCCTTGCCACAGCGCACTGACGAAGGGGAGCCAGGCTGGCCCCACCCATGCCCGCTGACCCCAGGGGTCTCCAGCCTCCTTCCCTGGGTGGTGGGCTTTTTCTCAGTTTGGAGCCCTGTCCCCTCTACACTGAGGAGGTAGAAACTCTGAAATCTGGCAGCCCGGGGCCCCCTTCGCCTGGCCTGCCCCCATCTGTTACCCCAGTCGTCTCTAACTGCTCAGGAGAACCTAATGGGCAATTTACTATGGGCCCCTGAGTGAGGCTGCTGGGGGGTGTGCTGGGAGGAGAAGAGGTCTCCCTCCTCTGAGCTCGGGGGGGAATTCCTGCCCAGCTCCTAGAAGGCCGCTCACCCGCACCTGCCCCGAAGCCAGGAACACCGACTCCAAGTCCGGGAACGCCAGCAGGAAGCCCGGCTGCAACCCCTGGGGGAAGTGGGCAGTGGGGTGGCTGTAGCAGGCAGGGGACACACCCCTGTGGGAGTGTCACGCCTAGGAAACTGAGGCAGGCCCCGAGGGAAGGGGCCCAGATCCACGGGGCCTCCTCCGCTTCATCTGCCCACTATGCCGCCACCAGAGTGGTCTTCCCAGGACTCCTGCTGACCACCAAGCCCAGCCCCTCTCTGCGCTGACATACAGGGCTGCACGTTGTGGACACCACTGCCCTTTCCAGCCTAACCTCCAGCTCTTCCCTCTTGGAGGAGCTCACTTAAATCTCCTCACAACCTTCTGCGGCAGGTGCCATCAGCACCCACATGTCACACACGAGGTCAGGAAACTCAGAGGTGTGGGGCCCAGGACTTGAACTCGGGTCTCCCTCACACCCAATCTGCACTTCCAACCCCTCTGCCCGCTGCCTTGGGGATCTGATGAGGCCACAGGGCGGGTCTGAGAGGCTGCATTTCCTGGGGTCCAGCTCAGGCCTGGGTCACCCAGCCTGAGCTCGGTGGGGGTGAGAAGGCAGCAGGGCACTCACAGGACTGGGCTTTAGGGCCGCCTCAGCAGCAGTTTTGGCTGCAGCGGGGGCCCCTGCTCCTGGGGGGAGATGGAGGGGTTCAGGGACGGCCCCCATGGAGGATTCCGAGGCCCATCAGTCCACTTACTCACACGGCTCACCTGTGACACCGCCAGGGCCGAGGCCAATGCCGGGAGCCACACCAACACCGGGCCCTAACCCTGCAAGAGTGGAAAGAGCTCATTCTTAACCCGAATCAATTAGTCCTGACCAAGGAGGACAGAAGCTATTGGAAAGAGCAGTGGGCTGGGGGTCGGGAGCCTGGGGTTCTCATCCCACCCTGGACACAGACTTGCTGTGTGACCTTAGACAAGTCACTCTCCCTTGATGGGCCTCAGCTTCCTCATCCCTAATATGAGGTATGTGCTCGATCAGGAGTTCTTAACCTTTGGGGGGACAAGGACCCCTCTGAGACTTCTGAGGGTGATGGAGGCAGAGTCACGTAGTGAAAGGAGCTCTGCAGGACAGGCAGACCAGGCTTCAGAGCGCAGCTCAGCCACCATCTAGCTGTGTGACTGTGGGCAAGTGACGTAAGGTCTTGGAACCTCAGTTTCCACATCCGTAAAATGGGAATAACGGTACCAACTTCATAAGGTTGGTGTAAGGATGACCTCAGCAAACGGTAGTTTTATGGAAAAGGGTCATTTGTCATATGTGCGTTTTGGGGTCAGCAGACCTGAAGTTCAGATTTCTCTGGCCTAGACAGCCCTAGATTTTCTGCTCTGACTCCCGCTGCAGGCAGGCACAGGTCCCTAAAGCCCAGGCATACAGAGCCCCTCGCCCAGGGCCTGGCATACAGGTGGGCTCTGCAGTGGAACCACTGTGATTTGCCATTTTCAGGAAGATGTAGGTGCCTGGGGCTGCCGGGGGGGCCCTGAGAGGTAGCAAGAGATGGAGCGCCTTGTCAAGGAGCAAGAACACTGCTGGCGCTGGAACTGGGATGTGGCGGGGGCTTTGGGAAGGATGGGGAGTCCTGGAGGGCTCGCCAGGGCCTGTTCTCACTTTGTTCTCCTAATCAGAAACTTCCCTACAACCCTCAAAGTGGTCAGATGGGCCAAATGCTGTGAGGAAGGCCCACGCCCAGAATGTGACAGCCTAAGGGGGCTGCTGGACCCCAGAGCAGGGGCGTTGAGGGAGCAGCGCTCTAGGACACGGGTTGGAGGCAGGAGTGGGGGCGGGGGGGCGCTTACCAAACTGAGCGGCCTTGGCGGCGGCTTTGGCGGCGGCAGCTGCTGGGACCCCGACTCCTGGAGAGGTGAGGAGGGGCGTCAGGGAGCAGTCCCCAGCACCACTCCCCACTCTTCCCCACCCCCACTGTAGAAAGAGCTCTCAGAGTCCACCTCTAGGGACCTGTCCCCTCTCCCTAAAGACCTTCTCCCTCCTCACGCCAGAAACAGAGGGGGACGCACGCGGAGCCCAGCCCGCGGCTGGCCGCCTGGGCTCCAGGCCCAGGTGCCTGGGTTCCCACTGGCCGCTCTGGGCACGTCCCTTCCCGAGAGGCTGCTCTGAGGCTGTGACATTCTAGCTCTGCCTGTGGTGGAGGAGCCCAAAGCTGTGACTGGTGGGGTCACGGGCCCCCTCTCCTAAACCTCAGTCTAGAAGATATGTGGGGCTTTCTGCAGAAGGTGATGTTAATTTAAAAAAATTCTAATCGTGCCCGTATCCAAAAATATTGGAGGAAACAGCTCATTTCTTGGGGAAACTCAAAAGGGGAATTTTCTCCCAGAAAGAAGAAGGAATGCAGAAGAGAAATATTCTGGTGGGAAAAACAACCAAGGAAGGTTGTAACTTAATCTCATTGTGACTCTTCATCTCCTCCCTTTGGGCTCTGACTGGAGGAGAAAGAGTTCAGGAGAACCAGAGGCTGGCCCGGCCCTCCCACCTCATCGGGGACTAGACAGGCCTTGCAGGGAGTGAGTGAGGCCACCCGACTCTGGCACAGCAGAGCTCTGGCCACCTGGCCAGCTGACACCCTGAGCGTCCCGGACAGAGAGGGACTCGAGGGGTTCACTCAGCAACCTGGAATCCCACGGAGGGCTCCTCCCTCCAAACTGAGGGAAATTGGTTTCTCTCCTCCCATCTCTGGGCTCCGTCTTGCCGTCTGTAAAATGATGCCCTTGACCTGGGTCGACTCCAGGGCCCCTTCCACGAGACAAACCAAACGCGCCCTTGGGTTGGGGCCACAGCTCACCTGGCACCCCCACAGTGCCCGGCACCCCTGGTACTGGGACTCCGGCACCCGGCACCAGCCCTCCCAGGGCTCCTGCTCCTGCAGGACCTGGAGGAGAGAAGAGTGTCCAGCCTGCCCCTCAAAGCTCCCCGTCTTGGGGTGCAGAGGGTAGAGGTGGGGAGGGGGCAGAATGGGTGCATGGGCATCTTCAACTTGCTGGTTTGGGGTGGGAGTGATAAGCAGGGCACCAATAACCCTAACGGTGGGCATCTGAAAAGTGCAGAAAAGTGCAGTGTGGCATTGGAGGATGGGGCCAGGGACTAGGGACCTTGGCCCAGGCCATTTCTACCCCAGAGGCCTAAGTGTGAGGTTGCTCTGCCCTCATGCTGGAGAATTGCTCTGAGCTCGGAGCCTGGGCCCTAGAGGAGAGCAAGGCCGGGGTGGGGAGGAGAGGCAGCGGTCCTGGGTGTGGGGACAGGCGGGGCAGGAGCACTTACCGTACTTGGCTGCCTTGGCGGCGGCTGCTGCCTGGGCTGCAGCTATGAGGAAACGAGAAAGAAAGAGACTCTCAGAAACCTTGTTGGATCCCAGCCGGGCTGTGCTGCCAGCTGACCTGCTCCAGAGGCACTGAAGGCCCAGCCCGAGCTCTCCTCCAACTCCTCCCTGAGCACACAGGAGCCCAGTCTACACTCCCCACTCCCCTGGATAGCCCTACACTCCTTCTCCTGGTTTCCCCAGATGGAAGGAAGGCTCACGGGAAAGGCCAACTCCAGGAACACCGACACCGAAGCCGGGAAAGCCCCCAGCACCGACCCCGTAAGTGGGAATGCCTCCAACTCCCACTCCGGCTGTGACCCCTGCAGAGGGAAGAGAATCGAGTGGAAAAGAATCTCAGTGAGAGACGCTGGGGAGGGCTCTGGGGGATGCTGGTTGGCGGGGAAAGAGGATGCAAACCTCCCCGAAGTCTGGTCCATGAAGGACAGGAAACCGTGGAATGCCTGGGCCCCCTGCCAGCCTCCTCCAGGAAGCCTTTACTGACACCCTCCAGCGCCCCCCCACTCCCTCTCTTCTCTGAGCACGCTGGAAGGGCCCAGGCTGTGGAGGGACTGTGGGCAGGTCCCATTTCCCTAGCCAGGCTTGGGCTTCTCGAAGAGAGCCCTGGCCAAGGCAGGGAGGGTCAGGGACACTGTCCCCACTGGGAATGCCATACTGGGACTCTCTCATCACTCAGCCCCATGGCCTCATGGTGGGAGACAACTGGAGGAGACATCATCCTGGGGCCCAACAGGTCCAAGTCCCAACTCTGCCAGTGACTTGCTGCGTGACCCTGGGCAAATCACTCCCCTTCTCTGGGCTGTACAATTGGGGAGTAGAAGATGAGGGTTCTTTAGTTCTGGCAAGTAAAAGCCAGAACAGGGTGGGGCAGAGCTACTAGCACAGCACTTACCAAATTTGGCTGCTTTGGCAGCTGCTTTAGCAGCTGCAGCTGGTGACACAGCCCCTGGAGAGACCAAGGGGGACACAAATGCTCAGGAGAGAATGGAGAGGAGAGTCTCAACATATATCCCTCTGTCCACCCATCTGTCTTTTGGTCCATCTTCTTTCTATCTATTGAGTCAATGTAGAGTTGTCCATCCATTCACCCACTCATATCTCCATCTACCCATCTATCCATCTGTCTACTCAGCCACCCGTTCATTCACCCACTGACCTACCCATGTCTGTCCATTTTTCTGTCTATCCTTGGACTTTGATCCACCCACTCAACCACTTATCTCTCTGTCCACCCATGCACCCATTTATCCATACACTTATCCACTGATATGTCTATCTATCCATTCATCTATCTATCTATCCAACCATCAATTTTGCATTTGCCTTCTACCTACCCTTAGAAGGTGCTCATCCTATTCAGCTGCTCATCCAACCATGTGCTTATCCATCCATCATCCATCCATCCATCCATCCATACATCCATCATTCTAACCACTTATCTAGTCCCCCACATGCCTATCTGTCTGTCTTTCCATCTACCCATTTACCTCTCCATCCACCATTTTACCCATTTATCTATCTATCCATGTATCCACGCATCCTTGTATCTTTCCATTCATCCAAACACCACCCACTTCCTCATCCACCAATTTGTTTACTCATCCACATGGCCATTCACCTACTTACCCAGTTGTCCATCTCCCCATCCGTCCATCCATCAGTCTATCCATCCATCCATCCACCCACCTACTCACCCATCTATCCACCATTTACTGAGCACCTACTCAGCTAAGGGTTGGGAACATAGAGATAAAAAAGATATGGCTCCTGCCCCCAGTAGCACATTGACAGCCAGAAGGTGAGGTGGAGAAGATGATGCTGGCAGTAGCTAATTAGGAAGTGGTTATAGCCCAAGGGAGAGAAGACGAAGCATGGCCAAGGGTATGAAGAGAAGAGGATAGAGAGGAGAGGTATTAGGGAGAATCCAAAAGTCTTGGCAACGGTTTCAATATTTCTCTTTTACGCACACATACACACACACAGCCCAGCTCACCTGGGACTCCAACACCTGGGACTCCAACACCTGGGACTCCAACACCTGGGACCCCAACACCTGGGACCCCAACACCAGGGACCCCAACACCAGGGACCCCAACACCAGGGACTCCAACTCCTGGGCCAAAGCCTGGTGCCCCAGGCACCAGGCCTGCAGCAGCTCCTGTGGAAAGGAAGGATTGTTCTCCTGGCCTGGCCTCCAAGGGCATGGCTCTGGGGAGCTGTGGGATGGCAGGTCTTGAGTGCAGAGTCCCAGGTGGGCTGGCATTGCCTCTGCATGGATCCAGCTCATCCGAGAGATGGGAAGGGACTGGGAGAACCCCCACAGAGCTCTAAGGGTTTGGATCTGTGGGTGGGAAGAAATGGTCTGCGTCTAAAGCAAAGTCAGGACTCTCACTACTGGGCACCCAGGCAGTTGGTGCAGCAGCTGTGGGCCGGCCTTGGGGGTAGGTGGGAGGAGCCAGATGCTCCACAGGCCCCGCCCCCACTCTGCTGGGCCAATCAGTGGAGAGAACATTGGAGATGGCCTCCCAGGCAGCTTGGCCACAACCAGCAAAGGCAAGGAGGCAAGCACAAGGCATGTTTGGGAGGGGAGGGAGGCTGCCACAGATGGATGAAGGCAAAACCCATCCAGCCTCATAGGATTGGGGTCTCCAAAGCCCATACAGAGGCCAGGGCAGGCCCCGAGGGTCTGGGCAGGCTGGAGCCCTGGGTCTACCACTCCTGGGGGCACTCACCATATTTGGCCGCCTTAGCGGCCGCCTTTGCAGCAGCAGCTGGAGCCCCGACCCCTGGAGAGACAGCCACAGAGAGTGAGGACCTTTCCCTGTGGCCCTCTCCAGGACACCCCTACCCCCTGCTGGAACAGACGTTACCTGCGATGCCTCCAATCCCGGGAATTGCACCGGGAATGCCGCCAGCTCCAACACCAACGCCAGGGAGAACTCCGGCTCCTCCAACACCTGCTGGGATGGAGACAGTGCAGAGGTGGCTCCCAGGGCCCTTCTGAGGCCAGGAAGGAAGGCCTCTGGGAGGCCAGCATTTTCACCAGCACAATCTCCTTGGTGAATGAGGCGCCAGCGCCCCCGGCTGGGTCTGCCTGGGAATGCCCCCACCCCACTGTTCTTGACTCACCCCCAAAGTGTCCATTTCAACACGCTCATTAAGAGACTTGTATGTTTTCAGACAAATCTCCTTCTAATCACTGCCGCATACTGAGAAACCACAAGCGGCCGCTCCCCGTGCCAGAGGGGCCCCTGCAGGAATGTTCAAGGCTTCCTCTCCCTGTGTTCCGAAGACGCAGCCAAGTTTGTAATCCAAGCGCCTGGCGGCCTGGCTCTGGCAGCCCCTCGCCGCCCCACTCTCCTGCTCCCACATTCCAGCCAGCCCCTCCAGCCTTGGGGGCCTGCAGGGAGGGCCTGTGGGGCCTCCATGGAGCAGGCCTCCAGCTCGGTGCTTCTTCCCACATGCTCACCCCCTTGGGCTGGTGGGGAGATGTCTTCTGTCCCACCAGGGCTATGGGAGGGGCTCCTTTGGGACTGAGGATGAAGGTAAGGACATCAGCCCCAATGATCTGACTCTGAACTGGAGGGTTACCTGGGGGGGGGGGCAGATGCCCACTCTGCCCACCGCATGGGCACAAGGAAGGCCATGCCACATCTGTGAGCCAAGGGATCATGGGCTTGAGGAGCTAGTTAAAATTTTTATAGTATACTTTAAATTGATACTAAACTATTAAATTGTTTAAGTGCTCATATATGTACCACTTAAAATTATCATCCTAACCACCATAGTACCCATTCCCTCTGCCTGGGCTCCTCCTTCTTGTTATAACCACATGGCAAACTCCACCTGTATTTTCAGGCCTGAATCAAATGTCATTTTGTCTGAGAAGCCTTCTTGATTTTCCCCAGGCAGAAATAATATCTCCCTCTTCTCGATTCCCACAACAGTACCTACATTTTCCAGCAGAGCTCCTATCTGTCCCTGGTCTCTGACATGGATGGATGGATGGAGGAAGAGAAGGAGGGAGGGAGGGAGGGATGGATGGATGGATGGAGGGAGGGAGGGATAGATGGAGGAATAGAGGGAGAAATGAATGGACGGAGGGAGGGAGGAAGGGAGGAAGAGAATTGTGGAGGGAGGGAGAGAGGGAGGAATGAACAGATGGATTGAGGGAGGGATAGATGAATGGATGGAGGGAGGGAGGGATAGATGGAGGAATAGAGGGAGAAATGAATGGACGGAGGGAGGGAGGAAGGGAGGAAGAGAATTGTGGAGGGAGGGAGAGAGGGAGGAATGAACAGATGGATTGAGGGAGGGATAGATGAATGGATGGAGGGAGGGAGGGGTGGAGAGAGGGAGAAATGAATAGATGGCTGGATGGATGAAGGGATGGAGGGAGGAATGAACAGTTGGAGGGATGGAAGGAGAAGGGATTGACGGATGGATGGATAGATGGAGAGCTGGATGGAGGGATGGGTGGGTAGATGGAAGGAGGGATGGATGGAAAGAGGGATGGAGGGGAGAATAAATGAATGGATGGGGGAGGGAGGGAGGGGAGAGGGAAGGATGGTGTTGAAAATGGTGGATAATGGGAGTGGGGCGGGCCTGGGTTAGTTACCTGTGAGGCGGGCTCTCAGTGTGATAGGGATGAGGGGTTAGCGGGCTGAGGGCGGGCAGGTGAGGCCTCCAGAGGTACTCACCAAACTTTGCTGCTTTAGCTGCCGCGGCTGCTGCTGCAGCTGTGCCAACCCCTGGGGGAAGGGGAGGGGGAGAGACTCTGAAAACTGTGCCCCTGCATCTCCAGAGCCCACCTGTTCCAGCCCCAAGAGAACCGACCCTTTCACATATGGCTGTGGGTGGGGGGCTTCATAGCAAGCAGAGGCGGATAGAGCCGGCCCTGCCCAGATCCTTCTCCAGGCTCTGAGGGGTCTGGGTTCAGAGTGGGCTGGCCTGCTTTCCGGAGAGACCCTGGCCAGCCCCAGGGCTCTGGAGCCTGGAGGATTAGTGTTCCTTAGGCTGGCAGTGGGGTGAGGCTTTCTTTACCTGTCCCCGTTGGGTACCCGGCCTTGCCTGCTGCACCAGCCACTCCTCCGGGCCCATAGCCTGTGAGACAGAGAGGCTCAGTGGGCGTCTGTGTAGATGGCACCAAGGCTGTCCTCCTTCGAGGCCCGGGCTGCCCCGAGTCTCCACTCGGTCCCCCCAGCCAGAGTTAACACAAAGACAAACACGTGCGTGGGATGGCTATTCTCGTTTTACAAAGGAAGACACTGAGGCTCAGAGAAGAAACGGGTTCGCCCAAGGCCTGGTGATAAGCCTGAGGGCCAGGATTGAGAACCAAGCTGTCTGAGTGGAGTTCCCTCTTCCTTCCTTAAGGGATTCCCACTCCAAGACTCCACCCCGCCCCAGCAGGGGGCTCTCCTAGCCCAGGGCGAGGGCCACAGCTCCCTTGTTAGCACTCTGCAGCTGGAAAGAGCCAGAAGCCCAGCAGTCTAGGAGGGCCTTACTCACCATAGGGCAGCTTCCCAGTGGTGTAGGGCAGTCCATAGCCACCTGAGGAGGGGGCAGGTGGGCTCAGGGGCTGCTTCATGGCAGCCCTCTGCCTTGCTGGGCTCCCACTACCTGGGTAGATAGACCTACTCCCCCAGCTACTGAGGCCTAAGACCCATTTGAGGGTCCTGAGCTGCTCACAGAGGCTCTCAGGAGAGCAGAGGCCCGGGGTGGAGGAGGGAGAGGGCACCCCTGCCCTTGGGGCCCGATGGGACACCCATCCCCCTATTGCTGCAGGCCCTGCCACAGCCCTAGAGTCCAGTGTCTTCCTTACTACCCTCCCCAACAGGAAACATCTCCTGCGTGAGCTGATTGCAGGGGTGTGTTGACGTCAGAGGGGTCTTTCCCATGAATGGTGTTTCTCGCCATCAACACAAATGGTTTCCCATCTGGGCTATGGGTCTCTGTGTGTGTGCATGTATATGCATGTGTGTGCATGCGAGTCAGGTCAACTCCTGCAGGAGGGCTTCCCCATGCTTTCCTTTGCTGATGACCAGAAGTGGGCTGCAAGACCCAGGTTTCTTGGCCTGCCCCCCAGGGATACCAGTAGCCAAACAAGTGCCCCCCACAAGCTGGTTTCTTAGCAGTGAGGCCTGGTGGGTGGTGCCTCTTGGATCCTCCTTCTGACTTACCTGGCAGCTTGGGTGCCTTGATGGGGTACCCCAGAGGGACTCCAGGCTGCTGAACCCCAAAGGGACCAACTCCTGTGGGAACAAGGAGAGCAGAATCAGGCCCTGGCAACTTGGGCCTGCAGCTCCTGCTAAGCCGACAGCCTCACACTCCAGTTTCTGCTCAGACAGCATGACCTCCCACTGTGTCCGGAATCTATCCTGCCTGCGGGGCCTTCCTGCCTCTCTGTCAGCATCAGCTGAGCCCTCCCCAGTGGGGCCACTTCCTCTGGGACGCTGTGGGACTCTCTCCCTCCTGGGGCTTGGGCCACAGTTGGGGCCTGTAGCCCTCACCGCATTTGGCACAGACAGGTGGGTTTTCTGGGCATTTTTCTGCTAGACAGAGGGGCGGGGGAGGGGGGAGCAGGCCTGTGAGTGATGCCACTTTGTGCTGAAGCCAGTCCAAGGCCGGAGCAGCAGGCGTGAGGGAAATTAGACAGGCCTTGCTGGGGTCCCCAGCCCCGCCCAGGAGCCTCTGCCTGGCTGGCCACCCTCTGGCCTGCCCACCCCCCTGAGGGGACCCAGCTTTGCCTCACCTGGGATTCCAGCAAAAGCTCCTGCTGCACCTGCAATGACGAGGAGCAGTGCTGCAGCCCTGCCACCCTGGGCACAGGGCACAGGGGCACCACTGGTCGGCGCCAGGCAGCACTGAGGGGCGGGCAGGCCTGAGAGTGGCCGTTCTGCCCGGACCTCCCAGCTCACACTGCCCTCACATGCACTCGGGGATTTCTGAGAAGCGTGCTGCCCATCTTGGCCGGCTATACCAGGGCTGCAGCACAAGAGGGGCCCACCTGGAGGGCCCTGAGCCCAGGGTCCCCACCCCCCACCCCCACCCCAGGCCAGAGGGCCTGAAGGTGGGTGGAGATTCCCACTGTGGGCCCCCAGCCCAGCCAGTGCATACCTGGGGCCTTGGCCTTGACTCCTGCTCCAGTGGGAACCCCAGGGAGCACCCCTACACCCGGGAACCGAGCTCCTGAGGGGGAAAGGGGGGCCAGGCAGTGAGGGAGGGAGGGCAGGCCTTGCAGACCCAACCTGGCACCCGCACTCCCCTTGGGTCACACAGCTGGTCTCCTGCACTGCCCCTCAGTGATGAGCATGGCTCATGTGGTGAGGGAGGGCCCCTTTGGTGGTAACTTTCCTTTCCTGTCCGACCCAAGGCCAGAAGACCTGAGTTTTGATCTCATGTCCTAGCCACGTGGGCTTGTGCTCTGTTGGCCTCATCTCTAAACTGGGGTTCATTTCAAGCCGCCCTGCCCACACCCCCAGAGCAGGTGGACAGTGAACGCCTGCATGAGTGGGAAGCCCGTGCCCTCGGGGGCTCTCTCTCGATGTCGTTCCCAACCACACCAGCAGCCTTCCGCTATGGCTGGGAAGCTCCACTGCCGGCGTCTGGTGTTCCCGTCCCTCCTGCCTCCCCTGGGGCTGGGCCGTCGCGGCGGGAGGGACAGGGGGAGGGACACTCTGTCAACAAATCCTGCACAGCAGCCAGAATCTGGGCTTTTGGGGGAATTCGGGAGGTCACATGTTGGGTGGGGTGGCCGGGCCCTGGCAGGGAGAGGAGGATGAGAGGGCAGCTCAGAGGGTCTCCTGCAGGGCGGATGCGCTGGGCGGGCCCCCTGGTGACTCATGGCTTTTGGGAAACAGCTGGCCACACTGGGGACTTGGTGTGTCCTTGGGGGCCCACCTCGGGCTGTGACGATGGTCTGGGCCTGGGCCTGGGGTCAGGCCTTGGGTGGGGTTGGGAGGAAGCTGACTGGCCTTCATGGGGAAAGATGACCAGGGGCCTTTTGTCTGCTAGCCTGAGCTTTGATGCTGGTCAGGACCCAAGGTCCCTGGTGGCCTTGGCTTGGGGGGAGGTGAGGGGCCACCAGAGAGGCTGCCAGGGATGCTGTCCTCACTATGGGGTCCCCTTCTCCTCCTTGCCCTCACCTGCGCCTGGGAGCACTCCACCTGGGTATACACCTGGTAGCCCCACACCTGTGGCCAAAGAAGAAGGAGGAGCCATGAGCAGCAACAGCCTCTGGAAACCCCTCCCTGGCCCTCTTCCTCAGTGGATCCAGGGCTCCCGGACCAGTCCCTGGGTGCCCGGCAGGAACAGCCAGGGACACATGTGGTGGCTGCAGCCCTCCTCCCACGAGTCTCAGAAGGCATCTGCAAACCCTCCTGTGTCTCCTGGAGCCTGTTTACATGGCCGATCCAGCCCACCTCTGGGCTAACAGCTTCCAGATGTTCCCTCCCTACTGTGTGGCCAGCCTTTTGTTTAACCTGAAGTCACTTCCTCAAGGGCCTGGTGCAGAGGAATGAGGCCCAGATGGGGAGTCAGTGCCCCTTGGGCACACCCCAGCCCCGCCGTGATCATTGAGGGCCCTTCTGCACTGAGCCTCAGTGTCCCCACCTGTCACCTGAATGCCTGCCACAGAGCCTGCCTCTGAGGTCTCTTTCTGCTCCAAGATCCCAGAAGAAGGGCATGGAAGGTAGGCCAGGGCCCCTCTCCCCAATTTTAGACATGGCACCTCCCTCTGGGCCTGGCTGTCTTCCCTGCCCTGCTGCAGCCAGGCCCTGCCCTTCCTGCCCAGTGTGGAGCTGCGGGCCTCTGCCCCTCCCTGACCTCCGCCCTCCAGCCGCAGGGACTCCACACTGACCGGGCACTTTCCCAGGCTTCCCTACAGCTCCGGCTCCGACTCCGACTCCTACTCCAGGCTGAGGCACCACCGCACCTGTATGGAAGGGGCCGCGTCAGGCCCCGGTTCCACTCGGGCTTGCAGCCTTCACCTGGGCCATTCAGAACTAGCCACCATACCTGGAGACACTCCTAAGCCGCCAACACCGGCAACACCACCAAGCCCGGCGCCTACAGGGCCAGGAGTGGGAGAGGCGAGGGGTCATACAAGGAACAGTGGGAGGCAGGAGGGCCCTGGGCTGCACGCTGAGGGCCCAGCCTTGAGGTCTGGTGTTGCCACCACCTCACTTTGAGACTTGGGCATAGCCGGTTGCCTCCCCAAAGCCCAGGAGATTAGAGCTGAGGATTCTGCCCACCTGCCTCCCAGGAAAGGTTCTTTGCAAACTGGAGAGCCCAGGAAGGCCAGAGAGCTTATGGCACGCCCCAAGAGCAACACTCACCAGCCTTGGCGGCTTTATAGGCTGCAGCAGCACCAGCCACTCCGCCGGGCACCGGAGCCCCTGGGTAGATGCCTGCAGGAAAGGCCCCAAGCCCTGCAGAAGGGAGGACGGGATGAGGTCCTGAGCCCCAGCCCGCCCAACCCTGCCTGGCCCGGGAGGCCCATTTGAGGCTCTCCTGCTGTCTGCAGGACTTCCATGCCAAGCAGCAACTATTGCTCCCAGGACTGAGTTCGATGTTGGGGAGCAATATGTACCAGGCTGCTCTGCTCAGCCTGACAAAACTGCAGGGATCTTTCCGGGTCAAACTTCTGCACCCCCCTCCTCCAGAAAGCCTTCTGGAAGCCCCTCTGAGTTGAGCGACTCCTCTGGACTCCTGGGGCCTCTTCCATCCAGCCCTCATCACTTCGTTACAACAGCACCCAGGACCCAGCAGTGATTCCCTCGTGCCCTGGGCAGCTGCTCCAGGCAGGTGGTCTCAGCATCACCCCCACACCAGTACCCAGGACAGGCCTGGCCTGCACCTCTGTACCCCAACTTCCCTCCATAGTAGGCAGATGCCCTGGGCTTGGCTCTGGCCCCCAGAGGGGCATCTCGCCTGGATGTCAACACTAACCTGCCCCAGGGCCAACGCCTGCGAGCCCTCCGACACCTGCAGGGAGAAGGAGACAGAGCCAGGTGAGGAGAGGCTGGTGTGGAGCATCCTTCCTGGGTCCAGGCTGGGAAGGGTCTCGGGGAGTGGGGGCAGGAACCTCGCAATGCTGTGGCCACTCAGGCCCCTAAGCTGGACTCAAGCCTTCAGTACTTGGGGGCCAATCCTGATAAAATAGCAGCCACCGTTTAGTGACCAACTACTATGTGCCAACTACATGTGATTGCGTTGAGCCCCCCCCCCCCATGACAAGCCTGGACCAGGCCTTGCTTCCCCTAGAAGGCCCACCAGCTAATGGGGGACCCAGCGGGGCTTTCAGTAAAGACTGGAGCTGAACAGAATCTGGCAGCAAGACCTCACCCAGGCCAGGCCCTGCTTGCTTCCATATTAGCCCCCACCCCAGGCCTCTCTTCTGCTTCCTTGCAGGGGTCCCCTGGCTCAGCCCCCACCCCCTCCCCTATATCTGGAGCCCCTTCTGTCCCCCACCATCTGTCCATCCATCTAGGCTGCCCTGCACTGCAGAGCCTCATTGCTTGCAGGCAGATGCTGAAATGTTTATGAGAAGCCAAATGGGTTCCTCTGGCTCTCTCCTCACATCTGGGCCCCATTGCTCCTTTCCCCCTCCAGGAGACATTCCACGGCTCTGGCCAGGCCCGATGGGCAATCAGGTTGGAGTTCACAACCGTGCCGGGTTTGTTTCCAATTATGTGAGAATCTCTCCTGCCAGCACCAGTCCTGGCCGCCGGGGTCCCGAGCCCAGGGGCAGCCCTCTCTGGGGACTGACCCCAAATGTCGGGGACTGCTGAGCCCTGGAGGGTCTACCTGGCTTTCACTGGGTGTGGTTCCCACTCCCCCCATTTCCTACTTGTGAGCTGGCCCCGGCTGAAACTCAGCCAGCCCCTCTATAAAGTGGGCCTCTAAATCCAGCCAGTCTCTCTTCTGGCAGGTGCGGTGTGGGGGTCAGGCTGGGCCTGAGGTGTGGCTGAGTTTACTTCCCAGCATGACGGCGCTGCCCCTCCCTAGCTCTGTCAGGGGCCCCTCTCAAGCCAGGCCTGTTTCCTGAGGTCCAACGGGGCAGGAGACGCACTCGGGCCTTTCCTGACCACAAAGAAGCTGGGAAAAGAAGACGGGGACCGAAGAGGAAGTGAGAAGAAGCTGTGGCAGGTGGGGTGGGGGCAGACAGCCCCTCTGCAGCCATCTGCCCTCCTCACGCTGCCCTCAGCTGTCTGGTCCCAGGGCCGTCCTTGAGCGTGACCAGCCCCACTGTGGCTTGTCCTCCTTCCCGTGGACTCACCTGGCCCAAACGCCCCAAGGAGGCCAGCCCCTGGGAAGGAGGAGCAACCGTGAGGAGCTGACCACAGCTGAGAGCCCAGGACCCCGGCCGGCCCACCCCTCTCTCTTCCCAGAGTCAGAGAGCTCTGGAATCAAATCCTGCTGCCCCTACCTACTCTTTGCGTGTGGGAGCGAGTCACTTCACCTCTCTGAGACTCAATTTTCCCACCTACAAAATGGCCAGTGTGACCCCGACCTTCTGGGACCAGTGGGCTTGTGAGCAGAAAGCACCCAATGTGTACAGCCTGCCAGGGCGCCCAGCAGGTGTCCCAGCTCCTTCCTGTCCTCTCAGGTGGGCGGCGGGCCTCCAGCTGGTGCTGGGGGTGTGGGTGGTGCTGGCTCCCAGCTGCCTGGCCCCCCACTGAGAGCCCAGGCAGGGCCCCGGCCAGGCCACCCGCCGTCTACTCGCCAAGGGATTAATTGTTCCCAAGCATGACACATGCTACCTGTGCCCCGTTCCATCCTGCCTGGGCAGGCCCGGACGTCCCCAAGGCCCGGAGGTGGGGAGCTGCCCTGGGCCGGGGGCACTGTGGCCCTGCCTAGCGTTCATAGACCTGAGGCTGAAAGATGACCTCAGGGAGGTCATGGAATCCAGCCTCTTTTCATCCAGTCAGATGTTCTGACTTTCTTTCTGGTCTACGCCTTCACCCCGAGCTGGAAGTTCTTTCAGAAGTGTAAACTAAATCTTTCATTAATAAAAGCTTCACTTTAGCAACCATCCATTGTAGGACGCTGAATGCAGTTGTCTCAGGCTTCCCTCCAGTGTTTAACCACCACCTGCCGTGTGTCCCCTGCTGCCAATGGGATCAACCAATCCCCCCTCTGGCTTTGCAGTCACAGCCTCCACAACTTAGGTTTTCTTGGCTAAGTTCGGTCCTAATTCCGTACCTTCGTTTATCTAGGCCTTCCTTGCATTCTCTCCACCATCAAAGACCCTGTTAAGATGGCTCACCCTCCAGGAAGACAGGATGCAGGATAAGCGTGAATCCCAAGGGCTCCCGGCCTTGCAGACCCACGGACCCCAGGGAAGCCCTTGCCCAGGCCTCCTGCCCCTGCCCCTCTCTTGCCTGGCCCCAGCTCTGGAGTTTCACAACCCAGATGGGCTTGCGGGAGGGGAATCTGGGTCTTGAAGATTCGTTTGCATTTGGATGATCGCACATCAGGATTTCGTAAGAGCTGTTGGACATGCACAGTGTCCTGGGGCCTCGGGCTTCAGAGCCAGGGAGACACGGAGCAGGGCAGGGTGCCAAGGCTGCATGCGGAGCATCTCATGCTGATGGGGCTGTAAATCTGGACGGAGACGCCATTTCCTCCACCTGCTCCTTATCCACTAGTGCTTCCCAGAGGGACCGCCCTCTCCCTTTCCTGTAGGTGTGTTCTTTGGAGCTGATGGTGGACCCTAGTGGCAGATCCGGGCCCCATGGGCAAGGCCAGGACAGATCTAGCCATATCTTCTTGTTGGAGAACTCCATGGTCTGGACACAGCTGGAAGGGGCCTGGGATCAGGAAGGGAGCTCATCTGGGGCCAGGGTCAAGAATTCAGCCCGGGGTTAAGTTCAGGGCTTAGTCCGGGGTCAGGATAAGGTCTCAGGTTGTCATCAAGGTCAATGATATGTAGGGTCTTGGCCTGGGGTCAGAGAGGGCTTGGTCTGGGGTCAGGGGACCATCCAGGCAGACTCTGGGCCCACCACCTGTGTCTGAGTCCCAGAGTCACGTTTACAGGCTCGGCGGCCAGTGGAACATCAATTCCTACCTTTGCCCCCAGCCTCAGGGCTGTTTCTGAGACCCTGTGCAAAGGAGACAGGGCAGCTGGGTACATGGGCACTGGCAGGGTGGATGCTGGACCCTCCTCACATAGAGGGGACATCAAGCTGCCTCCACCTCCTGTTCCTGGAGCCCTGGGCTTGGTCCCGGCCTGGTCATGCCTGGGGCTGGCGCTGCCCACTTCTCCCCTCCCTCCTCGTGACCATTGGCTCCCTTGCTGGGCTCACAGCTCTGTGGCCCTCTCTTCCCTGCCCCGCCCTCTCTTGGTGCTCTGAGGCCTCGGGTCTTACCTGGCTTGGGAGGTTTGACTCCAGGCCCCAGTGCTGGAGAGGAAAGAGACAGGAGTGAATGGGAAGCCCAGCTTGCCTGTCCCACTGTTTATCCCCCCAGGGCAGAGTGAGGGCATAGTGAGTTCTCCCTCCCCAGATCCTAAAAGGGCAGTCGGGGATGGCCCTCTCCTCAGACAGGGAGCTGCTGGGAGCCCCGTGTTTAGACACTGGTTTGTGGTTTGTGCTCTCTCAGACCCAGTTTCCCAGCCTCTGACGGGGATGATGATACCCACTCAGTGGGCTGTGCAGGGATGCTGTGGAGGACCAAAGAAATATGAAAGCAGGCGGGGCCACCAGGGAAAGAGCTGGGGGAGGGGCGAGGGAGGCCCGCGGGTTCCAGCTCTCAAACACGTCACTCCCCACTGGACCCTGGGTCTGTGTAACGAGGGGCCCTCGGTGCCTTGACCTTTGGGGTTCTGAGGTCTGAGGACCTGTGTGTGCTGCTGGAGTGACGCTCAGACCTCGTCAGTGAGGGACCAAGTTTGGTTTCTGAGCTCACCTCCTACTCCCAGGCCTCCGAGCCCAGCCCCTGTGTTGAGAGAGAGACAGAGAGTCAGTGCCCTGGCAGAAAGCCGCCCCTCGACCACAGGCGAATCCATTACCGCCCAGCTACACGACCTCGGGCAAGTCCTAAGCTCCATGAGCCTCAGTGTCCTCGCCTGTCCCAATGGGCCAACAGCCAGGTGCCAGTTTGTGCCTGGAAGCGTGTTGGTAGCTGCCCTCACTTCCATATTGGTTCTGAACACTCAAATACTTTTCAAGTATCGAAAACATTATTTTTGATTTTCAATCGACTTTAAAGCATTATGCTTTTTTCTAAATTAAAAGAAAAGATGCCCCCCCCCCCGATGTCATTGCTCCATCGTTCCAACATTCTGCCCATTTTCTTTTGGGGGGGGCTCCCAGTCTCCATCTGCACACGGTCATTGCTTTTAGATTGTTTTTGCCTGAAAAAACACTTCACCGTCTTTCACGACAGATAGCGTGTTCATACTTTTTAGGAGCTGTGTATGATTTCACAGTTTACTTAATCACAGCCTCCCCTCAGGTGGGTTTCCTGTTTTACATTTTTTTTTTTTAAGATTTTTTTTTTTTTTGTGAGGGAGATCAGCCCTGAGCTAACATCCATGCCAATCCTCCTCTTTTGCTGGGGAAGACTGGCCCTGAGCCAACACCTGTGCCCATCTTCCTCCACTTTATGTGGGATGCCACCACAGCATGGCCTGACAAGTGGTGTGTCGGTTCGCGCCTGGGATCCGAATCCGGGCTGCTGGCAGCGGAGCGCGCGCACTTAACCGCTATGCCGTGGGGCTGCCCCCTGTTTTACATTTTTGCAAATAATACTCCTATGAACCTTGTTGCAGATCATTCTTTCTTCTCCTTTTCAATGATTTCCTTTGAATGGATTCCCAAGAGTGGGGTTAGTGACTTGAAGACTGTGAAAGGCAGGGCTGCATGAAGGTGCCCACTTTCCTACAGCCTCATTGTGTTTCCTCTTTCAGAAAATCTATGCTCTTAGTTGTAAAACAGTGCCACAGAAACTGCTCGTTAAAGTAGAAGTGACTTGCGGGTCCTCTGGTAGGTGGCCAATGTCCTTCCCTTCTGCAGGGTCAAAATGTGCTTCTCTCAGGCATGTTATCACAATCTGCCTCACTGGGTGTGTGGAATTTTCAAGTACGTTACCTGGGTAATAGACTCCTCCTGGAACGGCACCAGGAACAGCCCCTGGGACCCCTGGAAGGAAGCAGATAGAGTCCTCCGTTAGCCAGAGCTAGGTCATGGTAACAACGCGGTGATAATTCTGCACGTCTACAGAGTGTTTCCTCAGTTGTGCCCCTCAAAGTGGCCCCTTGAGGCTGCAAGTGCAGGGACTACTATTTCCACCTTAACAGATGTGGAATCAGGCTCAGAGAGGCTGAGATGTGCCCAGGGACACACAGCTGGAAAGAGATGGAGCCTGGATTCAAACCCAGGCCACTTGTCTGAGGGTGACGGTTTGCACGGCGTTACCTGCCCCTCTCCCCCAGGAGAGGGCTCGGTGTGGGGCTGCGTCTGAGCGCCTTTCGCCTTTTGCTGGGCAGCCAGCTCTTTCCAGCCCTGAGCAGCATAGGGAGGGGCCAGAGTTGTAGGAGGGCAGGCTGGGCTGCGGCAGCGGCAGCGAGCCGAGCTGTAAGGAAATGCGGCTGCGGCTAGAAAAATGCAGCCATTCCCACACTGATAGGACGGCTCGAGGTCAGCGTCCTCAGCCACTGGGCAGCAGTGGCTGGGTGGGGTTCTGGCTGTCTGACACAGAGCTGTCTTAGGAGGCGCCGGGGCCTGGAGTGGGGACACCATGAATGAGCAAAGTGAATAGTTTCCTCAGGAAAAGCTAATTCACTGGCCAGGCCAGGGGCCGTCTGCCCGGCCAAAATCACGGGTTCAGTCCCCACGGACCAGTGAAGCTCTCACTGGGGAACGCGGTGATGCTGGGCCCCAGACCCAGGCCTGAGCGTAGTCATGGCAACAGACGATCCTGGTGCAGACGAGTTCTGACTCTACCACCACAGAATGGCCCCAGCCTTGACAAGCTGCCTTGCCAACGCCCCGGCCTGAGCCCCAGCACCACCCTGCTGAGAGGGGCATGGGTGGGGTTGGGGGGACAGTGTCTGGCGGCCCTGTAGTGTGTCCAGAGGCCTCCTGGCCAGACGTCTGGCCTCTGTGGCCTGGTGATGCTGCACAGCTGGGTCTACTGGCCCCAGGGCCCTGTCAGCCTCAGCCTCAGCCCAGCAGGATGAGGGATGCCAAGCTGTCACGGCCACCCAGTGCCAGAGCCCCAGCACCACCCCTCAAGGGCCTGTGGCCCCCCAGGAACTGCAATCCAGGCCTGGAGTGTGCAAGAAATCTGGTCAGAGCCTCGAGGGCTCAGAGCGGTGGCCCCAGGAGGCTGGTCCTGCTGGGAATGAGTGCTCGGCCCTGTCATCGGCTGCCAAGCGCACACATGGCCTGCCTCAGGCCTTTGATGCCTTCCCTGGCTCGGGCCTCCAGCTCTGAGCACTGTCTCTTCTGTGCTTTTCCCTGTTGTGCTCCAGGCCTTCCTCTGCCCCGGCCTCTCTCCCTCCTCCCCTTTCTCTCCCTCTCTGTCCTTCCTTACGGAGCACCTCTCTGCTCCTGGCTCCAGAGCAGACTGCAGGAGCAGTGTTGGCAGGGAGGGAGCAAGGGGCTCAGGACAGACCCATCTGGCCTCTGATCCTGGCTGCACCACTTCTTACCCTCTGTGTGACCTCGGGCAAGTCGCTTAAGCCCTCTGAACCTCAGTTTCCTTTTTAGCAGCGTGGGGCTGATAACCACTGCCTTGCAAAGTTGTCGCGAGTGGTCAAAGGGTCCCGGTGAGAGACCTGGCCTGCCCTGGACCTGGCTCACAGTGATCGCTCAAAAACCAGATAGTGACCCTCTGACTCCACTTTGCTGCATAGTACATGGCCTGGGGCCAGGTATACTGAAGATGTTCAATAAATGATGGATGAATTAGGTGGAGTGGAGGCAAAGATGTTGCCTGTAGGTCTGAGTCCAACCTGTTCCATCCTCAACCGCCCTAAGGGCTCCCTACCTCCGGCTGGTCTAGCCCTTAGGCCTGGCTGAACCCCCACACCCTGGGGTTCTGTTCCCCCACACCCACCTGTGGCAGGGCCCTCCCTGGCTTCCCCTCTCCCCAGCGCCTGCCCCTCTCTCCCCAGATCTCTCTTCTCCCACTCTCCATCCCGCAGTTCAGATCCCAACCGCATTTGCCAAACCCTGTGCCTGAGCCACGACAGTCTGGGGAGCTGGAGATGTTGATGCCCGCTCTGCAGTGAGGAGATGGAGAAGGCGTGCTGGGTGTGAAGGGTTCTGCTCTGCCTCCTCTCGTTGAGTGCAGGAGAGGTGAGAACAGAAGAAGACAGTAGTCCATCGTGGGCCTTCAAGAGGCAGCAGCCTCCTCTCACGCTCCAGTGGCTCATCTTCCCTCCCACCTCCACTCCTTGGCCTGAGCAGTTCCTCCTGCCAGGAATGCCCTCTTCTCTCTCCAAGTCCTGCCCTTCTACCACGACTGAGCTCAGATTCTCCCTCCTGCCTTCTCCGAGCCTGAGGTTCTCACCGCTCAGCTGGCCCCAGCTTTTGGCCTGGAGCACACTTGTCTTGTTTCATGTGGGTTTGGCCGGTTTCCCCGGCTAGCCCAGGGTGGAACTTGTCTCATGCATCTTAGAATCATGATCCTAGACTCTCAGGGATCATAACAGTCTTCTGGCTTGAGCTGAAACTCCTTCTGTAAACATCCCCTTGTTCTCCTGCTTGCATGCCTCCAGTGACAGGAAAATCACCACCTCCCAATGCTGCCAGCCCTACCTGCAGAGAGCTTTTTCTTCTATTGAGAGAAAATCTGCCCTTTGGCTCTCCAATTTTGCCTCCCAGAGTCCCACAGACTGAGGCTCACCTCTCATCCACAGACAGCCCCTCAAACATTGACCTTTTTTTCAAGGTCTAACCTCCAATGTGAAGCCTTCCTGGATTTCTTGGGATTCCTTCAGGCCACCCCTTCCCCCAGTCCTGTCTGCTTCCTCCAGCACGGCACGCTGCTCCCCACTAGCCAAACATGGTGTGAGTAGCCAGAGAGAAAATTAAACCTTATAAATGTGCACTAATTACAAGGGTCGATGGGCCCAAGTTGGCAAATTCTGAATAAGAAGATATATCACTTAAAAAATTCACATTCCCAGAGATCTCATATTTGATGCATTTTTTGCAGTTATTACATTGCTGGAGCCTCCCATTGGCCCTAGGAGATAAGTATGGCAAAGATGTTTCTTCCCATTGTACAGCCAGGGAAACCAAGAGCCAGCGAGATGAAGCGCCTGGCCCAGGACCCACAGCCGACCCGAGTCACATGCAGGGCCTTCTGCCTGGGCTCTGGGCTCCAGGTTCAAAGACCTGGGAGAGGGCTGTCTGGGAGTGAGCAGCGGGCCAGCAGGCCTGGCAGGGGGCTTTGCCAAGTCCAAGTCCAGGGGGCCGGCCTGGGGAGCAGATAAGACCGCACGAAGCTGTTTGTTGTTTGCATGGAGAAAGGCTGCCAAGGGCTTTTCGAAAACAATCTGTCCTCCAGTGGGTGGCTTGGTCCCCTCCCTTTCCTGGGCATGTCTGCCCTCCTGCCTGGGCCCCAGCAGATGCAGAGGGCAGGATCAATCCCTGAACCAGAGGTCCTGGGCCTGGAGGCTCATCGGAGTCACCTGGGCAGCCTTGACAAAACCTCCATGTCCAGGTTCCTCCCCAGACCAAATAAAACAGGAATTCTTGGGTGGGACCCCAGCATCATTGTGTAAAGTTCCCTGGGTACCTCCAATACGCAGCCAGAATTGAAAACCCCTGTTCTAAATCACCTTCAGTTCTGAAATCAGGAAAAAAAACTAATAGTATTTCTGGGGGATGGGAGAGAATTACACTTGATTTAATTCTTCTCTCTCTCTCTTTTTAAATGGCATAGGGGTTAGGGGCAGCTGGTCCTCAAAGCTACTTTGGACCCATCCTAAATGGGTCTGGACCACCCTTTCCATCAAAGTCCACCTGGGGAGCTCCTTTCTTGCCTCCACTGGCAACATGAATCTTTGGAGCTGGGAACTCATGGGGGTGATGTCCTCTTAGGGTCGAGGAAAGCTGGGCTCCCCCAGGACACCCAGGTGGGTGGCTCTGTGTATGTGTGTGTGTGAGTGTGTGAGGGTGGGCGTGTGGGTAAGGATGTGTGTCTGTGCCCCTCTCGCCCCCTGATCTCTCTAGACCTCAGTGGGCTCTGAGCACAAACCCCAGAGGACCTCATCAATTCGCACACCCCTTATTTGGACCCAGCACTCTACCACCTGGGACAGAGCTGAGATTTACGTTTGCAAGGAAAGGGACAAGGCCTGCTGAACGTTGAGCGGCATCACTGAGGGCACAAGGAGAGGCTGCATTCTGCTCTAGGGCGTGCCCACCCTGGAGGACTCAGCCCCAGGCCTGCGCCTCCCCAAACGTTGCCTGGTACCTGGCCCCCACCCCCTCATCCTTTGGCCCAGGGCAGAGAGCTGGCTGGTACTAACTCTCTGGGCTGCCTTAGCCTGTCTGAGCCTCGATTTCCCCATTTGTAAAGTGCAGATGATAATTCGGCACTCTCAGGGTTCCTGTGGGGATAACCGCCGTGCTCTAGGTGGGAGCTCTGTCTAGGAAGGCAGGTGTTCAGAGGCATGCCTGGGGAAGGAGGGGTTCAGGCAGGCCCAGAGCTGCTGCTTTTAGGCATCAGGGCGGCTGGTCCTCTGGGGTTGTCTTGCTTCCCCTGCTGGGCCCCACCTGACGGTGTGCACGTCCCTCGGCCTTGTCCAGGCCCGGGAGCTGACCTCTGCGCAGGAAGCCCCTGCTCCCAGCTGTCCTGCCCAGCCGGTCAATCTCACGGAAACAGCTGCCGCTCCTGCCCAGCACCCCTACTCCAGCCCTCCGGCCTGAGCCTGCTCCACCCTCTGCACCCTGGCCCCCTCTGGCCCCCACCGAAGGTCCAGTTCTCACGGCAAGGAGCACTCCCACAGAAACCGGACCCCACCCAGGCCACCGCACCAACGACTCTTCCTATGGCCAGGAGCACCTTCAGGGGCCTCCAGTGGGCCACTCCGAGGGTCCCCCGAGGTGCGTAGCAGCCCCATGGGGGGCACACACCTTATGGGCCAGGACGGCCCTGAGATCCACCGCAGCCTCTGCCGCCAGCCACACCCTCTGCCGGGAGATGCACCCCTTCCTCAGCTCCCCTCTCCTTGCTTGTGCTCCACACCACACACACAGCCACACTCAGAGCCACAGTCCACACCAGGGACGCACCTGGACACCAGCTCCCCCCCAGGATGTGCCTGTCGGGTGGCAGACTTTGCATACGCTAACACGCCCTTTCACATACCCTACTCCCCAAACACACACATTTGTCCAGGGAGGAACCTGGACAGACATTCATCCCCTCCCAGAAACCTCTTCCACTATTTGGTGACGTATTTGGGCATATACACACATACACACCTGTGCGATAGCATGCAACACACTTGTTCACGTGTGTATGCATGCGCACACATGTATGCACACACACACACACACACACACACTCAGAAGTCCCAGCCCTCCTCACCAGGGACAGACCACAGTGGCAACTTTCCAACCTGCAACCGGGTAATCAACTTAACCCTGACCTTCCTCGGAGGGGGGTCTTGACCTCTCAAGGGACAAGGAACCTGCTGAGGTCACAGCTCACGGCGGCTGGGCTGGCCTCCAATCCAGGTCCCCTGCCCCCAAGGCATGTGGGCACACCTGCCAGGTCCACAGGTGTGCAAAGTGCCGGTGCCCAAAGCCCCATGGGACCCTGCCGGCCCTCCCCAGCGTGCTCCCTGCTCCTCCCCGGGAGGACTCCCGGGACAGAGCAGAGGCCCCGCAGCTCTCCTACAGCAGCAGGACCTGGCCCCTGGTTGGGAGCATCCTGAGTCAGGAGGCATGTGGGTAATAGGTTCCTCCTCAGCACAGGCTGGCTCCCGGGACCAGCAGTTCCAAGGATCCAGTGGCTGAGGGGTTCCCACCCGGGACCCCCAGAGGACACGGGGGTGAAGGCGCCCTCTCACCATCCATCAGTCCAGCCACCTGGCCGGGAGGCCCAAGGGCTGCGGGCAACTCTGGGGAGAGGGTGAGGCCTACCTCCAGGCTGCGAGGGGTGGACGACGGACAGCAGGAGCAGGAGGACTCCGGGCCGCAGGGCTGCCGCTGTCAGACCCGCCATCTCGGGGAGAAATGCCCCAGCCCGAGTTCCGCGCCTCGTTTTATCCCCAAAGCGTAATTGCTGCCTCGCCGGCTGAGGGAAGGAGGGAGGGAGAGAGGGCGGGCGGGAGGGCGGGAGAAGGGGGAGGCCTGGGGGAGGGGGCTGCGAGGAGGGGGGGGCAATTACGAAACGCGGGCTCACAAGCCTCCCAGGCTGGGTCGGACTGGACTGGACTGTGGGCTTGTTTCCTTAAAACACACAGCCGCGCGCACAGTCGCGCGCGCGCGCGCGCGCACACACACGCACAGAGTTCTCCCCCATCTCTCTCGCCTTCCCTCTGTGGCTGTTCTCTCACTGCTGGCCCTGTTCCCGCCAGAAAGTGCGAGGGGGACCTTTGCCAGGACAGCCCTCCGGAGAGGAAGCAGGAGGGAGGGCCCTGCAGCCCGGCCAAAAATCCGGCCCCAGCCAAGGCCTGAGTGGCCAGGCCCCCGCCCCTCCGGCTGGGCCCTGGGCCCAGTGTGGGGACACAGGCCAGCTGTCCCGCGCCTCTGCCCCCACCCCAGTCCTCCAGACTCCCCCAACACCCCCGGCCCCGCCACAGACAGGCCCTGCCCCAGGCTGGGGAGGGAGGGTGTTGGGCAGGTCTGAGGTCTGGGGCCCAGGTCCAGTGTCTGCAGAAGCTGAGGGGCTGGCTGTCGGCAGAATGGCCTGGAAGGTGAGATCACATTGGTGCTGCCCCCTGGGGCATCGGGGGGAAGGAAGGGGGGCCTGGTGCACTACAGGGCTCCATTCTTCGCAGGCTAAGGTCACAGTCTCCTGCCTGCAGCTGGGGAGAGGGTGTTGGGCCGGTCTGGGATCCATGCCTGCAGAGGCCAAGGGGCTGCACCAGGGGGGTGGCCTGGGAGTTAAGGCCATGCTGATGTTGTCCCCTGGGGCATCTGGGGGACATGTGGGAGACTCTGACACACCACAGGGGGTCCATTCGTCATGGGTCAAAGTTGCACTCCCACGTGCAGGCTTGTGCAGGCCACAGTGTCTGCTGAAGGTCAGGCCGGACCCCCAAGTGCCCTGCAGGGGACCAGGGAGCTGGGGAGCCCACCCAGACTGGCAGGTCGCCCAGCCCCTGTTTATTACTCTGACCCCAACGCTGAGCCCTTCTGGCACCCAGACCAGACTTGGGAACCCCTAAATTACTGATTCTCGCCCCACCCCAGAGGCCCGGGGCCGACATTCCTCTGGTGGCCAGGAGAGGGCAGCCCCGCGCTGAAGCAGCTGGGCCTCGCATTTCCAGGACTTGGGTTGTTCACGCCTGCCTGAGCAGAATGAGGACCCTGGTGAGGCAGGGTAGGAGAGGGTCGTGCCGCTCCCGGCAAGTGGGGAAGAAATTTGGGAACCAGAGGAAAGCAGAGAGAAACTGGTACTTGCCCTGGTCACGGCCTGTCAGGGAAAAAAGTCGAGGTCGAGTTCTGAGAGCTTTTCCCTGCACCTGGATGGAGAATGAGGGGGACACAACAGGGGTGGCCAGGAGTGCAGGTGTCAAAGGCCAGGCATTGGACTCAGGTGGACCCAGGACCAAATTCTTGCTCTAGACTTTCTATGGGGGTAACTTCTTCCTAGAGCTTCAGTTTGCTCATCTGTCAAATGGTGATAAATAGCCTTGCCTAGGGGAGTTATTGCAAAGATAAGTAAAATGTGGTCAGCTATTTCCACACCATGACTGCCAGATCCAAAACGCTCCATCCTCACTTGGGGCTGGTACTAGTTCTGGGACACTATTACCACCACTACTTCTGCAAGCACCACCCCTGTTTTCAGTGTAACTGTTGGCTTGACTCTACGCTGGGCCACCTTGGGACCCAGGGCCGTCCCTCGTCTCCCTGGCCTCGGGCAGCACAGCTCCAGGATTGGGCCGGGCTTGGCATGCCGGGATGACTGGCTTGAAGCTGTGTGTCACTTTCAGTGTGTGTTATTTGGGGGTGCTTTGGGGTAGCTGATGGAGATTACGAGCCCAAGCCCGCTTTTGTTGGTGGGATAGAGGCTGCTCAGGGTCAGGGTCTGAGGCTCGGTGCCTGGGATGTGCCTGCTGGGGGAGGGGAGGCAGGGGGTGCATGTGTGTGCCCGGCCCCTCCTGGGAAGGTGAAGGCAGGGGGTGCTGGGGAGGAGCTGGGCCCCACTCCTCCCGGGGCAGTGACGTGGGCAGGAACCGGCTTTCAGACTTGCAAACCGCAGTCTGCTCAGAGTCTTTATTAATTCCAGGACCGGGAGAGAGGCTGAAGCCAGAGGCAGAGGGCTTGCTGTGGGGGATCCAGGAGAGGTGAGGAGAGGCGTTCTCAGGGATAGCCTCGGGGCTGCAGGGCCAGACCTCTCCCCGCACAGCCGGGCCCTGTGTCTTGCCCCTACCTGTGTGCCCACTTCTTCTTAGTGTCCCATGCTCGTTGCAGCAGCTCCACTAACTCATATTTAGCAAGGCTCTGTGTATCTCCAAAGGGAGCTTCAATTCAGAGTCGAACCCATGAAGCTGATTCTCCAGTGCAGTTTAGCGCAATGCATTCAGCACAGACGTAAGGACTGGGGGTTACAGTTATTGACCAACATTCGTTCACTCATTCGCTTACACGTTCAAGACAGCCAGCAGTCCTCTGCTCTGCGTAGCTGAGCAGAGTCACTTGGGTCGTAAATGGAGCGCTGCCCACAGAGAGATGCCTAGTGCGCTGAATGCCAGGTGGGCTTGGCCTCACCTGCCTTCTTGCTGCTGGGCATCCAGGTGAGTCACTGACAGGCCATCTCTGTCCACAGCGCCTCCAGGTGCACTTGTTGAGGAAGGACAGAGCCACCAGCCTCCACATGACCCTGAGCATGTCATTGCTTTACTCAGAAACCCTCAGTTGCCTTCCGGATCAAGTCCAGACTTGTGGGTATGGCCTTCAAGGCCTTGCATGACCCAGCTTAATGGCTCTGCTACTTTCCTTCCTCCTGGCTGGCCTCCCTTCTGCTGGCACAGCTGTTCCCCAGCCCTCAGACTCGTCCTGGAGGGCTGGGGCTGGACCTCTGTTGGCAAGGTTCCCTGGTCTCAGCTTCCATCCCTGCAGGTCTCTGCCCTCAGTGTCCTTGGCCCCCAGACTCCTCTTGGGGGCCTTGGTGTGGGCCCCTTGGGTGCCTCATCTCATTCACCACTGGCCTGGCCACCACTGAAGGCAGTTTGAGGATGGACTGTCTCCCCTTCTTGCAAGAGTGTTGGACAATAAGCACAGATGTGCCCTCCAGGAGATGGGAGCAGAGGCTGCTGATGTAGACAGACCTCCAGAATCCTGGGGCTGTGGTTTCTGTTTTCTGCCTTGTCTATACATGGTCTTTTTATCTGTTGAGTGCAGGATGTGCCTTCTGCATGGAACCTTGGACCAGAGGGAGAGCTGGGCGTGGGCCGCCTGGCTGACCTAGGAAGAGCTTGGTGTCAGCCAGATCCAGGACCCCTGCTGTGCTCCCCGCCAGTGCGTGGCGGCCTCTGCTGTCAGTCATCTACACCTCCATGTGAGTGCGGGTCCCTCCAGCCAGTCCCAGAGGAAATGAGGTCAAGGTTACATGAACAGGGGGCATGAATTTCTCCCGTGGGCCCAAGTGAGGCTTGGGACAGAAGTGAGTGCTGGCTGGCTAGCGTGGGTTCACGTGTAGACATCCAGGAGAGAATGAGCAGCAAGGTAGGGTGACGGACCTTCCTGGATCCACCCTCTCTCATCCATGAGACCCAGCTACAGACGTTAAGGCCAGAACTTGCCCTTCCTCTGATTTTAAATTTTCTAGTAGCCATATAAAATAAAAGAAAATGTAAGTAAAATTAATTTTAATAATAAGCTGTATTTAACTCAATACATCTAAAATATTATCATGCAAACATGTTATTGATATAAAAATTATTAACGATGTATTTTGCGTTCTTTAAGTCTTACTACTAGCGTGGAAGTTACACTTGGAGTGCATGTCAGTTTGGACTACTCACATTTTGAGTGCTCAGCAGCCTCATGTGGCCAGCAGCCACCAGAGTGGACAGCGCAGCTCGAGACCTTGAGGGGCTGGTGAGGATGGGCCTGACTTAGGGTGAGTGAGGGGGAAACGCTGAGAGCGGCTCCTGCTGCTCAAACGTTACAGGTAGCAGGTAGGGCGGGGCAGGAGGACGAGGTAGACGGCAGGGCATTCTTGAGGGCGGCAGGGGGTGGCCTGGGGCACACCCCGGACAGGCAGCCCCAGGGGAGAGGCCCTGCCCTTATGCTGGGGACCCAGCCTGAGAGGGCGGCCACCTACTGAGCGGCACCAGGCAGCGTCGGCCCAGAGCCAACAGTCCGGCTGGAAAACGAGAAAGGCCGTCTGTGGCTCATCCCTCCCCAGAGGTGGCCTGGGACCCCTCTGACAGCAGGCCAGGAGAGGAAGGGGCCTGCTCCGGGGCAGGTGTCAGGCTTCCCTAGAGGTCAAGGGTCTGCAGCCGACAACAGACAGACGCTGCTGGTCTGGGGCCCTGCTGAGTCTGGCTTCATCACGCAGGAGCCACCGAGGGAAGAGACTGTGCTCGAGCGGGCTTGGGACTTTGGGGAGGGGCTGGAATTACAGCACAGGGGGCATCTGCAGCCCCCAGGCTGGGGTGCAGAGCGAGCCAGTGGTTGTTGTTGTGGTGGGGACTGACATGATTAGTGTGTGAGCTTGGGTGGGTCACCTACAAATACCACCTGATAAGGGTGACATCAATGGTGATTAATCCCTAGAAGCCCCCGTTTCCTCTTATGGAGACAGGCGTCTTCATAAGCCTTTAAGATTGAAAACTCATGTCTAAGAGTCTGGTATACAGCAAGTGCTCAAAGGTGGGATGGGGTCCTTGGTGCCATTTCAGGCAACTGAAGCAGACAGTTGAGGCTGGGGAGGGGGAGTGCCCAGGAGGAAGCCCCATGTCCACACGTACCCTCCCCACCACCGCCCTGGGATGCCCCAGCTCCTGAGCTGCGCGCCTCTGATCCAGCAACCTCTGCGCAAGGCTGTGCCTCTGCCCGGGCCGGGTGTTTGCATGTCTGAGTCATTCGTCAGTCTGGGTCTTTGGCCGGTGTGAGCCGGGGGGTGGGTGTCCCGGACTGGCCGT